AAAATACATAACGATCCAAAATGAAAAATGATAGATGAACCTTAAGAAATGAACATAAAAATGTTATCAAGAATTTGCTTTTATCTTATTCAATTGTTCTAAACATAGAGACGGACTTTTTATTCGATAACATATACACAACTTGGAAATATAAAGATGTATGTACTATAAATAGCTAAGTATGTATAAAGGGTGTCCCAGAAGAAACCTGCCAAATTTGAGGAGAAGGTTGATGGGGGGCTGAGCTCCCTGATATGCAAAAAATTTTCAAGGTAAAAGTTTCACTGTTTTTTGAAACATTGAAATTTTTTGGAAATAAAAAAAAGTCGTGCCTTTTGATGTAATTTCTTTAACGGCAACTACAAACAAGGCTATACTTAGTAAATTTTATATGTAAAATACTTACAGATAGTTGTTTATCCATAATCAAATGCAATATATTTAAAATATATAAAGGAACCATTATAAAAATACGGCTATTTTTAAAGTTTTAACTTTTTGATATTTTCTTCCCCAACTTTGGCTATCTGTCGTGAAAAAAAAAATGTACCGAGCTATAACTGCACTTTACATAAAAAATTTGACAATTAATAAAGATTTCAGAAAGGTGCCACTCTTACTATTTCGAATAGACAAAAAAGTTATAGCCGCTGTTGTGGGCAAAGGACTGAGACACGCTAGAATGTATTTAATAAATTTAAATTTAAGTTGCTAAATAGTACAAAGGTACATTATTACCTGCTCCTGACATTACGTTACTTACCGGAATTAGTGAAAGTGGATTTTGTGAAACTCGACCCTTCGAACATTGTGTTATTAATACTATGACAGAGAACACGCCCCTGCAGGAAATGTATCTAACTATAAGCTAACTTTAAGTTGATTAGGAAGGAGCTAAAAGTCGCTTATTATCTGTATATTTTCTTTGACGAAAGGTAACTATATTTCTATGGCGATGGCCGCGAAATAGTCAAGGTTGGTTTACCTCTGCTTTAGATGTAGTTAAGGGTGGTTTACCTCTGCATTTGATGTAACTAACTTGTAACTAACTACTTTTGGACTTAAAATATCAATAGGAAAAACAAAATATTTTTATTTTTTTTATATTTTTTTATTATATTACATTTCATATTTGTTTCCATATCCTCTGTAGGTGGTGCCATATTCGAACTACGTCAGACATAATTTCAAAATGATAATATGAAATTTCGATCTTCCTTTTATTTGTCCTCAATTAGCAAAAGTATTTGTGAAGTGCAGGATATTTAAATAGAATCGCGTTTAAAGAAAACAATCTCCTTCATTACTCCTGCATTACCTACTTGTCAACTAGTTTCAGGT